ACCAGATTTAAAGCGGGACACTATTGACCGGGGTGGGGGAGTTCTTGATTAAAAATTTGGTCTATGTGGACCAAATAGACCGTTCCCTAGCTTGTGCATTCTTTCCAAAAATCGGGACTGTCCCGCCAAAAGTGGGACATCTGGTCACCTTATCAGCTTTGGAGTCTATGAGAACTGAGTAATTCCCTGTGGCCGAGTAGAAGTCCATGGGATTTCCTAGGCTTGCGCTTTATGGGAGCTGATTCGCTGGGTTTAGTTAAGCTTAGCGCTTAACCATTGCACCACAAGGTTCCTTATTCTTAACCCCAATTCTCGCTGCTATGGAGTTAATGCTGACTCATAGCGACCCCTGTGGGTTTCTGAAACGCATTGCTTAGGGGGGTGAGGTAGAAAGCCCAGCCTTTCTCTCCGGGAGCTGCTGCTGCTTTCTTACTGCCCCCCAATGCACATCTGAGCCCGACAAAGAACCACCAGGCCACCAAGGCTCCTTTTTTCTTACTAGACCCCTTTTGTCCCTTCCTGCCCCTTCCCATCCTTCCCTTCAATGATAATTTAAAATGATTAAGAAGTCTGGAATATTCAGCTCTGAAAGGTTTTCACATAAAAAGTCAAGTTTGGACTTTAGACTGCCTGGTTTGCTTCCGTTGGGAATGTCTGCTAAGGGTTACCCTCTCTACACTTAAGACTGTTATGCCAGCACTTCTGAGAAGTTAGGGAAGTAAGGCCCCTTGGGGCCTTAGGTCCGACAGAAGTTGAGTCAACAAGCGAATAACTACGATGATATGTTGTCATGTGGCACTCTTATTACAGGCTCAGGGTCAGCAGACATTTTGCAAGCCAGAAGGGAAGAGGACTGAGAAAGAGACCAAGGAGACACTGCACACAGAATTAACCCCTTTCTTGGGCCAATTTGTTGGTTTATATCCACACCCAGCAGTACTACAGAAGAAAAACCTGGCAACCTGCTTTCGATAAGATTAACTCAAAACTCATTGCCATTTAGATGGGGAGTAGAAAGCCCCAACCTGGGGAATGGTGGGTGGTTTTGAACTGCTGAACTTACTATTAGCAGCCCAACACTTAACCACTATGCCACCAGGACTCCTTTCAATTACAGCTAAAAAAACAAACGAACAAAACACTAAAGAGCAATTCTAATCTGTAACACATGGAGTCACCATGCCTCAGAGTTGACTTGATGACTGGGGTTTGGGTTTGGGTTTGTTACGGGTCCTGCTAGAAGCCCAACCCCAACCTTTGATCCTGAATTTGGAGACTCTGCCTTCCCAGAATTTGCACACTGAATGTTTATTTCACGCTGCATGGTGTGTGTTTCCTTCCTGAGTGATGTTAGTGCAAATTTTAACTTAAATTTGATCTCAAAACCACAGACAACTGTGGGTCATATTGATACCAGCTCCTGTCCTCACATTAGAGAAAAACCCTAATAAAATTCAATTATCTTTAATAAAACTATCCCACTTCTGAAAGATGTTCCTCATGGTAAAACTGACAATAGTTGTCAGTCCTCCAGCTCTGCATAGTTGTTAAAGCACTTTCGCATGTGTCTCATTTAATCTCCTCAGAAAACCTTTAGGTTTTCTGCTTTAGTTTGGATTAGACCTGCTCTCAAGGTCAATGCCACTATTCTACACACTGCAAATCTTATCAGGAAATTCCAATCCTAAAACTTACATTCCTCAAGACGTTGATAGTTGTGAATTTTTCTGTAAGTAATCTCACGATAGCCTCCTAAACAGGAGCCTCCAGGAACCAGAAATTGAGTGCTTTCATGATAAAAAGATGGGGACATCTGTGGTACCATGACAGAATTTTCACCTTCCCTGATAGAGGGGGAAAAACCTAGATGTCATCAAATGAGTAACACTCCTAGTGACCCTAGGACAGAATAGAGCTACCCTACAGATTCCCAAGGCTGTAAATCATCACAGAAGCTGACTTTCTTTCTCCCAAGAAGTGGCTGGTGGATTTGAACCACCAACCTCTTAGTTAGCAATGAGCATTTAACCACTGTGTCATTCAATTCACAGACAGTGCAGCTCATAAGCAGTTGCTCTGATGCTACACAGGCTCCAGGAGAGCTTCCTAAAACATAGACTAGGGGAAAAGGAGCGACTTCTGAAAGTCAACCAGTGTTTAAGCGGAGAGAAAATGTTTTGAGAATGATGTACAAATGCGCTTTACACAATTGATGTGTGTATGGATTGCGATAACAGTTGTATGAGCCCCTAATAAAATGTTTAATAAAAAAAAAAGAAAAGAAAATCAACCAGTGAAGGGCTCTAGATCAGAGCAGTCCTGTCCACCCCGGACTGTGGAGCAGCACTTCATTCCCTGAGGGTGGCACACGGGCTTGCCATGAGGCGAGAGTTAGCAACAATGTGGTAAAAAAGTGTTTTACTCTGAGAAAAAGGGAAAGAGCAGGCAGTTAACACAGAGGATTAAGTCAAATGCCTGGCTTTCATGCCACCCTAAATAATCTTGAGAAGTTACTCTGTGTGCTTAGTTTTTCTGGCCATTTATCATTTGTGACATGAGGAGGATATGTACGGCAACTCTCTGTGTATGTAGTGATATATTCCTATACATTGAAAATCCCAAAGACTCGGCAAGAAAATGATTGGAACTAATTAAAACAGTCAGCAAAGTGGCAGAGTTTAAGCTCAATATACAAAAATCAGTCAGATTCCTTTACACTAGCAAAGAGAACTCTCAAAAAGGAAATCAGAACACAAACTCAGTGCCATCGAGTCAATTGCAACTCATAACGACCCTATAAGACAGTGTAGAACTGCCTTGTGAGTTTCCAAGACTTTAACTCTTTATGGGAGTAGAAAGCCTCCATCAACCACAGATCGGCTGGTGGTTTTGAACTACTGACCTTGTTGTTAGCCCAACACATGACCCACTATGCCACCAGGATTCTATATTACATTATACCATTGTGTTAAGCCAGGTTGACTAGAGAAACAAATCCAGTGACACTCATCTATGTGCAAGAAAGAGCTTTATATCAAGAAGCAATCATAAACCAAGAAAACATCCCAGCCCAGTCCAACTCAAGTCCATTAGTCTCTCTTCAAACTCCCATAGCCACAAGCAATGATACAGAATGCAGGAAGATCACATGGGTACAAAGTCTTGTAGATGCAAAGGAGGTGGATGCATGGAAATATCAGGTCTCAAGAGTGGCCAGGCAGCAGGAAGATGAAGGCAGAGAGGGTTGGGGGAGGGTTCCCTGTGCCTTTTACTTATGAGAAGGCCACCCCATAAGAAGGCACCATCAGGCTGTGACCTGAGCCACAGGCTGACTACCACTCCGACACTTTTATATAACTTCAGGTTCACAGGAAATTAAGTAACTACCACAACTACCTTTATAATAGTCACTCAAAAAGTAAATATTTAGGAAAGAAACAAAAGAAAACTATGTAATACTACAAGAAATCAAGAGACCTACATAAATGGAAATATATACCCGCTCATGGATACAAAGCCTTAACATTGTGAAAATGTCACTACTACTCAAAAAGATCCAGAAATATAATGCAATCCAGATCCAGCATCATTCTTTAAAGAGGCGGAAAATACATGGAATAAATTTACTATCAAACATAATGAGAACCATGCAAATAGTAGAAGCCAAATTTGATGACTAGGCCCATTTTAAAAAAATTAGACACATAAGTTAATCAAAAGATTTCACAAAAAATAGAACCCATAGACTGGGGAAAAAATGCTGGCAATGACATGCTGGACAAGGGATTAATCTCCAAAGTTTATAGAACACTTTAATACCTCAATAATAAAAAGACAAATCATCCAACTAAAAAACTGGGCAGAGGATATAAAC